GTTTTTCGAGCAAACTGATGTCGTGGAAAACATGGGATGCTGCCCCATAGTGCTCAAAATATCCTTAAACTTCCAATTTTGTTCATCCACTACCACTCCTTTAAAGTTCAAATAGTCGAGGCTCTTCAGGTTTACTTTGACTGATGTTTTCAATTTAGTTTTCTTTTTGACACCATTTTAACTTGAGAAGAGAATAATTTCTAGAGATTTGGAGAAGTGACAAAAGGATAGAAAAAGTCTAGATATTATTTTTTGCCTCAGGTCCCGTTCAGGTGTTCAGCTCAGTAGCTTTTTTTTTTCCAACGCTTTGAATTATTTTTTTCATTTTATTTTTTTTCCATCCCGATAGGATTTCTTTTTCTTTCTTTTTTTCTTTTTAAAGGAAATGAAGAAAGAGGAGAAGTAGAAGAAGATTCAGTGGCCTTTTTATTCTTTTTGGTACTTCGTCCTAGAAAACACATAATAACTCAATCATCCTACTTCCTTTTAGGTGGTAGGGATGTCCTAGTCTTGTTTATCTTTAGATTTTCCTTATCCCTAGTTGGTGTACAATACTTCTTTGACTAAGGTTGTTGAATTGTTATTGAGTCCTTCCACATTGAATTGCTTCACTCGAGCGTTGATTTTCAGACTCGGAGTCTTTCTCAGCTTCCTAGTCCTTCAGTCTGTTGCTTGATTAGCTAAGCTCATTTTCTTTCTTTTCTTCTTCTTTTTTTCATTTTTTTTCTTTTTTTTTAACTCCTTAGGTTGTTAATATGACAAACTAGGATGCCTAAGAAGAGCATAGATGCCCCACATGGCCTATTTGAAATGGAGGAGTACGTGATCACCCCACGCCTTTCTGTTAATCGTTTTTAGTTGCAACTTCATGTTGGTCTTGAAAAGTTGTAAGGACCAAGACTTTTTGGCATGATGAAGTGTGCCGGCGGGTCATTGGCATGAGTTAGACCACCGTGCACATGAGATGTCGTCGTGCGCAGCTGAAAGAGAAGACACCGTCATGTGCATGAGATGCCACCGTACACAGCTGAAAGATGAGACACCACCGTGCGCGTGAGATGCCGTTGTGCGCAGCCGAAAGAGAAGACACCGCCATGCGTGTGAGATTTCGTCGTGCGCTGCCGAAAGAGAAGACACCATCGTGCGCGTGAGAAGCCCATGCGCAGCCGAAAGAGAAGACACATCCATGCACGTGAGATGCCACCGTGCGCAGCCAAAAGAGGAGACACCGTCGTGCGCGTGAGATGCCACAGTGGGCAGCCAAAAGAGAATACACCGCCGTGCATGTGAGATACCGTCGTGCGCAGCAGAATGTGGTGTCGCCAAGCACAGAGGTCTCCTATGATTGTTTGCATGTGTCTAGTGTGTATCACAACATGATTATGACCTCCTTGTACCAATAATAAATGATCTCATAGTATACAATCCCTACTTTTATTGACTCTTATCATTTATTTTATATGTTTATGATATTGTAATTTGTTCGAGTACACATGTGATCTGATTACGTGTTCAAACTTGTGCACTAAGACGTGTGTTCATTTTGAGATAAAATATTAACAGGCTTGGTCCTCGTGCTTGACTACGCTCATTGTCAGGGACATTAGAGGATGAGATATATGTTGGGTGTGTGAGTATCACCCCTATAAGAGATCCAGATCAGATTCCACAGTTGGCAATTCACATGACTATATTTTAGGGTTATACATCTATTTAGGCCTTATAAGAGCATACAAAACTATGACTATGGTGATTTGATAACTCCAATTGGAGTGGGGTCTGGAGGGACCAAAAGATTAAAGGCCAGAGGTATCAAGGGAGACATTTTAAATGTTATGACCCACTTGGGTTTTGATGGGCTAAGCCCATGTTAATGTCTAAAACTCTTAGTCCTGGAATAAGGCACAATAAGGGTTTCGTGGTGGGGTCATCCCTTGATGAGGATGGAGAGATGCACAAGGTAGTTAGTTATAGATTCATGTGACACCTGTGTGTAGTGGTTCCTCGGATAGGACAACAGCTAAAGTCCTCATTATTATCATTGCACGATATGTACACTAGATAGTCATTGTGGAAGCAGCCCATTAAGGCATGTTGTGTACATGTGCAGAGGCGATATCTCCCTACAACATTGAAATGAATTAAAGGGTCCCATGAGATAGTGTGCGAAATGAGACGTGGACTTGCCCTCAAGGAGGGATCAGAAATTCATGGGCTAGGCTCGTGTACTCTTCATTTACTGATTGTTTTTTATTCACCAATCATAAATCCTTGCTATGCTATGTGGATCATGGGTTCTATTGGGTTAGTTTGAGAAGATGATAACAATGCACAGTTTCTAGAATAAGTGGAGTGCATTAATATATTTTTATAATCCTTGACCTTGTGGATATATATATATATATATATATATATATTATTTGAGTTATAGAATATTAAAATAAATTTTTAAAATGTTATGTATATTTTCTTTTATCAAAAAGAATTTTTAGAGGTCTAAAAATTGATTTTCAAGGTCTTATAAATACGTAACCATTTTAAAATACTTATTGGACTTTAAAAAAAAATTATGAATTTTAAAATTCATGGGAGAATTTGGGAGCCCACCACATTGGACCCACCTTGATGGGGCAATGGGCCCACCACATTGGACCCACCTTGATGGGGCAATGGGCCCACAAGGGCCACTGATGGGTGCACGCCTGACCTATTCTTTCTCTTTAACTTATCCTACAAGTCTTCTAGAATGAGGAGATATTTTGTTAAATGTTTTGATTGAAAGAAGAGAGAAGTTTTATTAATTCAAAAATTAGTAACTGGTTTCAAAACTTGAGATTTTATGACACATATATTTTATTTTTCATATATTATATTTGATGGGAATGGGCTAAGGAAATTGAGGGATAATGGTTCTAGTGCCTTCCCTATAATCATGATAGCTGATCTAAAGAATGGGTTGCTATGATCTCTTCACTCTATAGGTCTCTTAAAATTGTCAGTTAAGTTTAAGTCTCAATAAGATGATAGACCCTAGGCCCCAAACCCTAGCCTTGTATTATAAATATTCTTTATATGTAGATATGAGGATAGATCTCTCTCTAAGAGCTCTCTCTCTCTCTTTGGTAAAAGAGTGGTAGACCATTGCCTCTTCTTTTTCCCTCTCTTCCCTCTCATCTAACTCTCCAATTGGGTTATTGGAGGTTCCACGCCCCAAGTAAGAAAAATGAGGCACGCCCATGCTTGAAATCCTAGAGTAAGAGAGGTACCCATAAACAATCATACCCTGATATCCTTATGAATGATGGGTAATTTTGCTACCAAGATGGATTTCCAGCTTTTCACAAGTCTAGTGTTTCTTTCCCCACAATGTGATCCCATTATTCCTTTGTGTGTGAATTTTTTTTTTTTGGCTGTTTATCCTGTGTGATACAGAGGCTGCTCGTGTGCATGTATGAGAAAGAGTGTTTCGAGATGAAAGGAGAGCCACACAGGAAAGAAAAATGGGACAACCAGCCTGTTGAGAGAGAAACTCGCAGGTTATCCTGCTTGAGACAACTTCTACAGTATCTTTGACCTCCCTCACCCAAACCAGTAATGTCCACAACTAAGTTAGAGCTCAAAAGCGAGTAAAAGAAAAAAAAACAACCAGTATGTCCACAACTAAGTTAGAGCTCAAGGACGAGTAAAAGAAAAGTAAAAACCCAGATTTACACTGTAAATACACTATCCTCAACCCTTTCACACCCACTCCTAAGTATAATAAGTTGGTCAGCAACAGCTGCTTGGATCTGCTCTAAGATGCTTGCAAGGCAACATTTAATTATGTTGTCACACGGTGTGGCAGAGGGAAAGGTCGGAGTGAAAGTTGGACGATGTGATAAAGCACTGTGTATATAAATTTAAATTTTTCTTTCCTTCCATCAACTAGATCACTTACAATATTCAATTATAAATAAAAGTTCTCACGAAATAAACATATAAAAACAGTTCTCACTTGCTACCGCTAAAAAACTTCTTTATTCAATAAATAAACTTGACACATTGCTTTATACGAATAGAATAGCACAATAAAAGAAATAAAATAAAACAAGTAAAAGTTATCGGAGATTATCTCAACTGGACTTATTACACTCCACACCGAGTCTCCTCCTCCTACTCAAGATCAATGATCGATCTCGAATCTACTATGGCCTCCATATACAAAATATAAATTTTCTTTGTAAAAAGTCCTTTGTTTTTTTTCATAAAGCCTACACCCCGCCCAATTTTAACCTTTTCGTTTTCCTTGACTTTTCTTTTCCTTATCAATAAAGTACTCAAGAAGGCCACTTGCTCATGAACACATGAGACTGCATCCCTTTCAAGTATGTCACTTTATTGTTTTTTGTGTGGAAGCAAGAAATTGGAAAGGTCCAAGCCACAAATGATATTACAATCGCATACCCCAACTCCATATTTCAATAAAACATGGTAAGGCCAAAGCGGTTCTCTTATCCTTAGAATGCATCTTAAGGTCAATCTACAATTTAGTTTGTCTATATATGGAAAATGGTTTGAGATGGCTGCTAAAGCCATTGAAAATTGCAATTCAGGCATTAGAAAAACTCTAACATCGATCATCTCGGCTTGAATGGTAAAAAAAAAAAATTAACATTTCTTCCTTAAAAATAGTGTATAGTATAACAAATTATCTAAATCGATCAATTTTACCAAAAATAAGTGTTCATAGATCCAAAAGACCGACACATTTTTTTGTGTTACAAATTTTTATTGTCCGTACTGGAAATTGACTTAGAGCCATTGGGAAATTTCCATTGCCAAAAGTGCTTTCTAGAAGAGGATTTAAGGTGAAGCTTTTTTTTGTTTTCATAAAGCAGCCTTATAGAAACTTCATCCTTTATTTATTTCTAGCCATTTTACTTCAACTTCTTTGAGAAGGAAGGACAAATAAGGCATCTGAATTTTGTGAATTGGAAGGAAGAAGAGGACCCCTTCTCAACACGCAATCTTTTGCACTTGTTCACCAAACTAAAAATGAACAGGAACGGATTTCAGCATCTGAATTCATCGGGTTCTAATTATGGATGCTTAGTCCCCATGCATAGAGAAAAGCATCCAAAATCTTTAAACTAGTACATACATGCTCGCACACAGATTAGCATCAAGAGTATACTATACCAGATTCCAAAATACGTCTTGATGAGAAGGGGGAAGATAGTTTGACCACCTGGTAGCAAACACCTTCAAAGAAACTTTCTAGGGTCGTTTTGCCCAATATTTTACCACATTCAAACTATTTTGCCAATTTCGGAGCAACCTCAACAAAGTCCTTCACTTAATCAATCTCACCAGCATAAAGCAGACCAATCATTCAACAAAATCATAGTTTCTGAAGCACAACTGAATTGGCGAGTCCAGCCTGCTCAATGGTCTGTGTGGGATCAGTCAGTGGCTTTGGTGGAAAGCCCACAGCTTGCAACTGATATGTTGAGCGACCCCCAGGCCTCGCGGCATCTAGAAAGGCTCGGATGTCAGCAATCGTGTGGTGGTAATTAAATTGTGCCACCATGCGGGTCCCATCAGAGAGACGCAGCTGAATAGAGGTCGACGGCTTAGATTCATCCACAGTAAGGCCTCGTGTTGGTGTGCTAGCAGCAGAGGAAATAGGGTTCGAAGGAAGAGAGGCCGAGGTTTCCGAGGATGTGTGGGTCCCACTGAGGGTCCTCCCTGTCCCTTGGAATGGGGTGGGGCATTTCTGAGGTTCCTGCTAATGGCAAAAAAAAAAAAACATTGAGAGGGAAAGTGTGTGCTACATAATCCAGTAATTGAGCGAAAACTGTAGCGCATATCACCATCCACTGATGTAATGAACAGCACGGGAAGGGGACTGGGATCCACCAATGGGATTTTTTGTAACTCTGGTGTGTCCATCACCCTGTCCATTGCCATCCATCATTTCAATGGATAATACGATCAATGGTCAATATGATCTTTCAATGGTCCATCGAAATTTTAGTAATGCATCCCAAGAACATACAAGGGACAAGGACATACTAAAAAAGTATACCATAATCCATGGAGCATCCAAAGAGGCATTAGACATCTGTTCCTGATAACGGGTAATGGATTTATTGCAGTAGGATCCACATTGAGATTAACCAAGATAAAGTTAATCTCCACCATCCATTATCAGGAACAGCCAGTGGATGCTCCTTTAGAAACTGTAAAACATGGGCCTATGGTAAGCTGTTCCTCTGGGGACATGCATATCAAGGAACGCACAGCATAGTCCTCATTCCTTCTGCTGAGGTTGACATGGACAGTGGTCCTCCTGTCTGCAGGTTCCAACTCTTTTGGGCACTCTGAGTTCCGGATACTCTGCAAAACACCAAGGGAAGAAATGTATGTCAAACCCCAGTATAATATGCACAAGAAGAATGAAATTGTTAATTGGTAAAATGTGTAATGTTTGTGTATGTATGTCCATCTAAAGTATATGATTCAAACTGGGATGGGCAGCCTATATTGGCAGAAGCAGGCAGTGAAGAGAGTTTTCATACATAGGAAACCATGCACCAAATGAGGTTCGTAAAAGCCTACAAGATTCTTGTATAGTTTTCAGGCTGAACACCACTAAATAGGCAGCGAATCCATATTGCCAAGACCGGACAACAGATACTTTCAACTGCATACAATCAAGAGTCGCATTAGTCTTTACACGTCTTTTCCCTCCCCAACAGCTTTCATCCATTTCTCCTCCAAGAAACAACTTTCCCATGAAAAAATCAACCTTTTCCTTTTCCCCAGTGGCCAGTACAAACAGTGCACAAGGCCTTTGAATTGCAGTTAAGCAACTTCAATAGCTCAACTTCCCTTGCTCCATTCCTCTGATCTCAACTAAATCAGCTTGTCAATTCAGACATCCAAATTCAAAGGATTATGCATTTTGAAGCTTCTAACCTACCAAATGGCTCCTCCTTCCAGGTCATGAGAACCTTCGCATTTGCGACAAGTACAAACATTACATCCGAGATTTCAAAAAACCATTACATCCGAGCATTAGGACACTAAATGTCAATAAAGTTTTCATTGAGCAATTTTAAGGGTATGTGGGGAAGAACTCGGCAAGGTGCTCCTAAAATATACATTGAACCCCGGATTCTTATGACCTTCTTCTTTCATGAAGTGAGTATATTCTGTTAGTTCAATTCTAGAGTTTAAATAAAGAATGTTATGAGCAATTTTAAGGGTATCTGGGGAAGAACTCAGCAAGGTGCTCCTAAAATATACATTGAACCCCGGTTTCTTATGACCTCAACTTCTTCTTTCATGAAGTGAGTATATTCTGTTAGTTCAATTCTAGAGTTAAAATAAAGAATGTCATGTAATTTCCATTATAACTGATGCAATGAATTATCAACAAATATATTTTCTTACCTAGATCTTGTACGAGATGTCAGGCACACAACTTTAATTTCCTCAATGCATTTTATCTTGATCTTCTGGCTAGCAAGCGAAGATTATAAGATGCACCAAGAGCCATTTAACATCCAGTGAGCTAGTCCAACTTAACAATATAAAAGAGCGACACATATTAATCGCTATATCCTCCTATTCTGTGTTTCTATTGGGGACTTCCAAATGTAAAAGTTGGCAATCCCAGTTCCAAAGCAGATAAGATGATAGGGTCTCATGAAAAATACTGGAGATGCCCGACAGAACATTTGGTTCACAGTAGTTGTTTCTATCTTATTGGTTCTGTACACAGTAGGTTTAGCACTGAGTTTCTAAGGCGTTAAGAATAATTACCCCAACATATGGACATAAGACGGAGGCATTTCATTCTAAGGAAATCAAGAGAAAATTAATGTTTTTGTAGGGGTCACTTCTTTCATAGCATTGGGGATGCCTATCCAAGTATTTTAAGGGCCTCATTCTTGGTACAAGTCAACAAAACCATCAACTTAAATAACAGCAAATCCACGTGGACTAAACAATGCAATTATCAAGAAGCACAAGCTATCATGTATTGTGCATTAATTCAGCTTTCAAAAAACCTGTTTCATTTTTCCAATTCGATTTAGTGTTGACCCGTGAGCTAAATGCTTTGAACAAGAACAGCCAGTGATCAGGGGAAAAAAGAGCAAACGGACATGTCATTCCATACAAGAAGATAAAGAAACCTTTTATATGGTTGCCTTTTTCACTTTCTACAGTCACCGATGCAGTGAGCATGGTTGAGGGGTGTCAATGCGGAACCCCCAAAATACAAAAACCCACCCCCCTACCGCATGAATCTTGCTGCTGTGATCAAACAAAGCTTGCACGCCACTATCAAGGGATTTTGATCCCTAACTATTTGAAGATATCTCAGTCCCTATTCAAGAGGGATCATGACTTGAACTAAAACAGGAGCACAATCCAGGTTACAAGGAGTGTTTCCAAAGTTTTTGAATTTTGAACCCAATGTCTTTGGTATTGTACTGAATTTTAGCTTCATGTGCGTGATTCTTCTTTTCTACTTTCATGGATGTGGTCTCATAAAGGGTTCAAACCAGCGGGCTGACTCACGATTGCCCAACCTGCTCAAACTTGGGGGGTGCTGGTTCCAGATGATCCGAAATAGGGAATCTCACGGATTGTCCAAAAGGAGTGGATCGTCTGATATCACCAGGTTCTACAATCTCATTTTTATCAAATTTTTATGGGAATTTTGGGCTATAGAGTTCTCTTTGTGAATGTGTATAGATAATGCAATTCTAAATATCACTTAAAAAATTATGTATATACATACATACATACACACACATACACACATACATGCATACATATATATGGGTGCGATTCATATAAGGTGTCAACCTTAAACAGTCAAAGCAAGGTGCACCTCGAAACCCTACTAGAACACGCAATTCGAGTGCTGAAAACCACTACATGGCTTGGAAATTCATTTCCACACCTAATTATGAAATTCAAAGCTCCAAAAAAGTGCATATTGAGCAAATCTATAAACACTACAAAAATCAGAAAAATTGACAGTCCAAATAAGTTTTTACAAAATTCAATATTTTTACATCTTGAAATCCTTTTTCCCTTTTCCATATGCATGCATCTCGAAGTCAAGATAATCAATTTAAGGGTTTTTCACCATCGCAACAACCTTTCTCACTGGCAATTTTGAAGTGCACATTACTTTTACAGTGTAAGATATATATATATATATATATATATATATATATGAGCACTTCATAGGAGCTCACAAAGTGATCCTACATACCTAGGCTTCAGAAACATTAGGCAGCCCCTAGGCAGCTGGCCTAGAGCCCCAGCGCCCAATGTGTAGCTGGGCGCCTAGAACCTTGGATGCCCTGCTGTGAAATTCTTCGGATATAGGCATATATGTGTTGTATGCGTATATTTGTCTTAAATTTGCATTTTTTTGATATATTATATGGGAAATGACCTTGTGGGACCCTCCCACACCCATGTGTGTAGGACCCCAAAGGATCACCATTAAATTTGGCACAGATCTCTAAAAAGTCAAGTCCCACACCCATATGATAACTTTTATAGAGATCTGTGTCAAATTTAATAGTGATCCTTTGGGGTCCTACACACATGGGTGTGGGAGGGTCACAGAGGATCATTACTCATATTATATATACATATAAATATGAGCACTTTGTAAGAGCTCACAAAGTGCTCCTACATACCCAGGCTTCAAAAACGAAAGGCGGCCCCTAGCGCCCTAGCACCCAACGTGTAGCTAGGCGCCTAGAACCTTGAGCGCTCTGTCATGAAATTCTTATATGCATCTATGTGTTGTCCAAATGCACATATATGTGCATATTTGTCCTCTAGGTGACCTCCTGCTTTCTACTTCTCTTACCATCAATACAATGTCAACAGTATCAAAATATACGTATTTTCATACAAAACATATCACATGTGAAGAAAAAACATGTTAAAAACTTCAAATCGCATAAAATTAAGTGAAAAAACTGAACTCCATAGTGTATTATTGTATTAGTCTCCAACTCTCCATATTCCATAATCGCATGAACTCCCAGTCTTCAACAAACTTACAAAAGTATAAAACCAATAGTCCAAAAAGGCAAAAATCCAAAATCCAAATGTCCAAACCAAGATGGTGCAATAAAGATGAAATACAAAAGAAGAGAAATCCAGTTTAAAAAGTGTGTGCAAATAACATGTTCCCCTCTAATTTGATGAATCAATCTCACACAAGAGAAAAGAAGAGGACGGATACCGAGCAAGAGAAAGGAATATATACATATAAAGTTCTAGAGTAGTCCCTACACAAAAATAAAAATAAAAATAAAAAGAGACGAAGGTCACTTCTTTGATACTGAATCCTCCTCGACCCCTGTTGTACGACTGCTGACCTCTCCCTCCAATCTCGGTCGATCTTGCCTCGGACCCCTCGTCATCTGAGTAGACGCCCGAGACTGTGACTAACTCCAAACAGAAGATGGTAATGAACCCGCACAATCAAGGCTGTCATCAGCAGAATCGTCTCCTTTGGAAAAAAATTTCGATTCACAGAGATGTAGGGCTTATAGAGGTTTTTTTTCTTTTTCCTTTTTTTTTATACTTTAGGGGGGTTTAAATTACACCCTAATACTCTTTAAAACAAATTCCGGGGTCCAGATTACATAAAATGCCCTTAGGAGCTACTTTAAAGATGGAAAACGGCCCACGGCCCTAGGCACTTGCCCAAAATTGGGCACTAGATGCCCTCCTGGGCTGCCTAGGCGGTCGCCCTTTTTCTGATATATACATACAGTCCATACATCAGGCGGATCCATGAACAAAACTCCCAACCGCTCCCAATGAAGAGAGCAATAAGCATGGGTTGATCCCAAACTCCTGCACCCACTTTTGCTTGTAATAACTATGGTCATAACTTAATAGACATTCACTTTCTAGGCTGATCATTTACTTGGTTCAATCACATTGACCACCCAACCCCACCAAATTTAATTGGCTTCTTGTTTCCCAACATTGGAAGACACAATTGCATGGTGTCCACTCTAGGTCCCTACCAAAAAATGTGTCTGGCTACACTCCTATCTCCTCAACACTCACCCCACCCCGCACAAACAGTTCCAGGACCATTCTGATTCCATCTGAGGTGGCTCAATGACAAAAGGCTGGCACACTTCGTTTCGCATTAGTAGTCCTCATTCCGAGTCCCTAGATGCGCAAGGTTCCGACGCTACTAGAAATTCAAAACAAAAACTAAAGACCTGGAACAGAGAGAACTTTGGCACTAGAAAAGTCACATACTATCATAGACAATCAATTAAGAAAAATTGAGGATACTAGAGACCTGGAACCGGATGAGAGATTGAAGC